TCTATTTTGAATAGTTTTTTATGGTTTTTTTCTTTTCTTGGTCTCTTTTGATAAAATGGAAACCATATTATAAAAATTAGAGGTGATTTGATCATTTGCTTAAAAGAACCGGGAAAAGGGAGCTCGAAGAAAGGGGAAATGTTTGATTTTTTGCCGATTTAAAAATAAACAAATGATGTCTTGCCCAAGAAATGTCCATTACCCATTCTAATATGCAGTCAGAAGGGGTTGATGTTATTTATACAATTTTTAAAGTTTGCAGTGTCTGCATAAAGTAAACTCTTTTTTTTTTTTGAATAAAATTAAAAATAAAAAGCAAGAGTAATATCAAGGGGCCCGGGGCAGACTGAATAACAAAGAAAATGTTTTTTGGCCAGGAAAATTTTGCATTGTTCATTTGGACCTTATTTTGAAATTGTCCATTTTTTTTTTTCGTGAAATTGGCCAAATTGCAAATTTCTGACCACGTTATTGGGTAGTTGAAAAGGTAAAAAAGGCGTTTTTGACTCAATCGATAGAAAAAAAAGGATTCTAAAAAAACAGCTATGATTTGGTCGCGGAACAATGGAATTAGCCAAAAAAAGGGTCAAAATGGAAATCGTGATTTTTTAAATACGGAGGTCGCTAATTTCGCGAGAGCGTAATTCCGTCAGTTTTCCCCAAATTTCGTTTTTTTTTGGGGTTTTTTACAAACGAGAAAAGATTCTCTATCATTTCAAAAAAAAAATAATTTTTTTTTTTTAAATTTTTGACACCAGGACACCCCAGGATTGGGGGGTTGCGACGCAAGGGGGGTTAAAAGGGAAACCCGCATGATGACCTGGAAGACAGAGAAACTTAAGAAAGGGGTTTTTAATGTACTTTGAGGGATGGAAAAAAAAAAATGAGTAACGATGAGAACTGAAAAATCTTATATGGCCTTATGAATGCCACAAACATTTCTTTAACCATAGTTATGGAGTAGGTTAAGCTAAGAGGTGGACAGAGGAAAAAATTTTCATAGCTTCAAGCATATGCATGACAACCCGGGAAGCTAAAGGGGAACAGCAAATGCAGTCAAACTAATTTCAAAGCTGTATCATACCCCAAAAACACTCTTTCATGTAAGCTCTTATATAAGTATATGTATGAGGAGCATCAAAGAGTTATGAACCTTGTCAATGGATATTGACTGTGTTTCAGTTCAGATGAAATAAAATACAAGATCGTTTCCCCGGTCTTTACTCTATGTGATTTTCCCCTTCTACCATAAGTAATATATACATGGCACTGCAGCCACACTCCCCCACACACACGTCGTATTTTTAAACTATTTTTTTGTCATTTTGTTATTCAAATAGTCATAAAAATTTTCAGAAAAAATACAAAAAAAAACATGAAATATATGTATTAATGGGTTGTAAATATACAAAACTCCAAAAATTTTTCCTAAAGGTGAAATAAAGAAAAAGCTAGCAGTTACCTCTGGCCATGAATGGGGGGTAGAGACAAAGAGGAAGGGAGTCAGGCCCTGGGGGACAGATTTTGCTCCCCCCACCCTTTTTTACTACTTTGGCACTTGAACCCCCACAATGACAAAGGGTATCAAGTCATAATAGGGCAAAGCTGCACTTTTCTAAATAACCTGAAATGGAATAAATCAAAAAACTTAAAATTTAATGTTTTTTTTTTTTTTTACACATGGCCCGTTTCCCCCCAAGGGCGGGGTGGCCCAAAAAAAGAAAAATTTTCCCCATCATTCACCCACACTGTCTTCCCAAAAGGGGGTTTACATACTTTTTTTTAAACTGAAACTTAACACCCCCCCTTCAGATGAGGCATGAAATTCCCATCTCCAGGACTCAAGCCCGGCCTCCCGGTTTCCTGTTTTCCCTTCAAAATTTACTTTGCTCCACCCCAACAGCACGTCAATTTTAAAAACCCATTTGTTCCTTCCTCCTATAAAACACGCTAAGCATCCCTGCTGGATGCCCAAAGCCCCCGCACACAAAACCTCCTTTACCCCCTCCTCCAACCCTTCCTGGGCCCGGCCCCTACCCGCCTTCCTTCCATACGACTAAACACTCTTGAAGTTTTTCTGTTTCGCCCCATTCTCTCTTGTCCGAACCACTCAACAACCCTTCCCCACCCCCTGGACAAAAGTTTTTGGGAAACCCCCCCACCTCCTCCTAATTCCAAAATACGAATTCTCTGCATTTATTCACACCACATTGCCCCCAGACTGACATCCCACTGCCTCCAGCCTTCTCCTCGCTGAACATTTATCAAACCATGCCCACACCCCTATAAGAGCGTTTGGGAAAAAATTTAAATCTCATACATTCCCCTCTTTGCCCCAAGGGCAAAGTTCTGTCTCCACAGACTCCTAAAATGGGGACCAAATCATCTTTTTCCCCCATCAATTCTATGATTCACCCCATCTTTCATGACCCCTCCCCTACCGTCCCCTCCCAAATATCGTACGTTCACTCCTCCCTACCTCTCCCCAATTGTATTTAACTTTTATCACTTAAACTTTTTGTTTTCCCATAACCTTTCTCCCTTTTCCCGTATTCACCTTTAATTTTTTTCTTTTGCACCCCTAACCCAAAATTATCCACCAACTCTGCGCTTCTCTTCAGAAATCTCCCAAGAGCCAGTTCACAGAAAAGAGACTGTGACAACTCCCACCCTGTGTGTGATTTTTTCTTTTAACCCCAAGCCTCTTGCCAAGCCCTCGCTTTTACTTCTCTTACAACCCCTCATAAATATATTAAAAACCCTGACATCACACACCCTTTGTGTGGGCCCTATTTTACGGGGGAAAAAATTTCCCTCTTTTTAATTTCTACTTGGCCTCACTATCCTCGAAAAAACCTTCACGCTTTCGTAACCTACCCCCTTTCCCCATACATTTGCAAATCCCCACTTTCCCCCCTTCCACCCTGTATATGCCTTTTCAAATCATAAATCCCCAAAAAGACCTCTTTAGCCTTATCAAATACTGTTCATTATTTTTTCCCTGTAAACCCCTGGTCCCCCAACCCCCTCCTTTCCAAAACCCCTTCCTTGTTCATCGTATCATTCCCCGCTTACCTAATTCTTTCAAATTTTAACTCTACCAAACTTTACCGGTAACTCAAAAGATTTTTCCCCAAATTTTTGCACTCTCTTTTTCCCCCTTTTCCTTTTTTACAAAGGGGCTATGCATGCTCTCTGCCAAACCCTAGGTACCTTTCCTCTTCCATACATTTATAAAAAATTGCACCAACCACTCCCAAACCCATTTCCCCCACCTGCTTTTTTAAAATTTTTATCTTTTTCCCATCAACCGTGCCTTACCCCCCTTTTATTTTCCTACTGCCTCACGAACTTCCCCCAACTCACAAAATGGTCTTCCCCATCCTAAAGTTTTTCCTCCTTGCCCCATACACGAAATACAGCTTCCCTATTTCATCAACATTTTAACAATTTCCCCAAATATTCCCCCCATTTCCCCCAAAACCCCCAACTCTCCCTTTAAATTTCCCCTTCCTATTTTTAACGCAAATCCATTTGTTCTCTGGCTTCCCCTTTAAATTTTTAAAACTCCTCCCAAAAATTTTCTTATTTTTAACAAAATTTTTTGTAACAGCCCCCACTCTTCATTGCTCTCTTTTTTCTTGCTTCACCCTCTTTAACCCTCTCTTTTTTTCCATATCTTTCCCTCCCTTTCATCACTTCTCTTTGAAAAAAATTTTCATATGCTAACTTTTTTTCCCTTACTATCTCTTTTCATCCATTCCCCAAAACGCTCCTCTTCCCCCCTGCACCCCCTTTCCCCGTAACCCAAAATTTGCGAACATTTAACATACATTTTAACCTACCCCTTCCTCTTCGACCCATTGCCTATGCTCTCATTACCATCTACCTCCAATAGTGTTTATATCTTACCCAACTGCCTCCTTTTTTTGTTTAAAACCTTCCCTTTCCCTTCCCTGTGCTTCTATTCTCCTTGACCCCATCCCCTTTTTACTTCAGTGTAGCTACAACAGAAAGTGACTGATATATCTGTGGCCCCTCGATAAACATTACACCCTGAAGTCATCAACAGTTTTTATCTACTAATCAAACCAAAAAACTACGTCATTTGCCCTACATCAACGGTATATTATTTATCCTTTTTTTTAAAATATTTTTACCTATAACTAAACCCCTTTTATACAAAGTTCAATTAAAAGGGGCTCCCATTATCATTTACACCGGGCACCCAAAAATTTCCCTCCACCCCTTCTAAAATTTTTTCTCCTACTTTAGCATTCAGTCCCCTACCCCAATTACTCTCCACTTTGGGTTTAAAAGGGTCCTATAATTCACTTAAACATCTCCCAAAATCTCTCTCTCTCCTCTGCATTCCTTCTTCTCCGGTGCATACACGTTTTAAAAACCCCACTTCTCGCATCCAACCTTTATTTAATCCCTAATTCTCGAAAATTTCACATTCATATTCTCTTTTTTCCTTCCTAACATCATTTAAAATTCGTCCCCTTCCCTTTTCTTAAATTAGTATCTAACGTATATCTTGCAATTTGGGGGAAAAAGCATTTCAATCATCACTAAAAAATGAAAATTTAAATTTTTTTGGGTTACCTGGTTCATCTCTGTAGTTTAACTAATGTATCCTAAAACGTTGTGTTTGAGAAATCACGAACACTGTAATTGCCATAATTTTTAGTCTGTAAAACTATATGTAGAGAGAATATAAATAAAACTTATTTAATGGTCCAGCTGCTAGGGCATTCTAGAAATGTATCATTGGTTTCCTTTCATGTTATTGTGTATTTCACAGTAAAAGGTTTATTTTATTTTTCAAGAGTTTATCCAGAGTTATAATTAACATCCTGTTCTCAGATACATTTATGACCTCTCTATAACCACATGATCCTGTTTCATCTATAGGTAAAATTCAGCTGCACAATAAACTAGCTGCTGCAACAGCAAAACCTAAAATCTTTCTAATGCTAAAACTAAAATGTAACTCACCTTTTCTGATCCTCATTGAGAGAGAATCTGTATACAAAGTTGAAAATGTAATAGATGAGGCTGTAAACCAGCAGTTCTGGCCACACCAGCTTGTAGATACTTCCCTTCCACCTAGAAAAATCATAAGAGGAGTTAATAACAACAAGTTACCCTGGAATCACAGCACAATGCATGTCATTCTACTCCACCCAGGTTATGTACCCATTCTCAAACTTAGAATTACACTACACCTATACAGTACATACATTAACCTAGATGAATGTACTGTAGAGGCTTATACCCACAAGTGCTCACATCAGAATATCCTTCCTATGTATCAAAACAGGGTGACCAAAAGTAAGCAAAACCTCAATGATTCCTGACACAGCAGTCTTTCTAGACAGGCACAAATATGACCGTCTTATGACCCACCCAACTTACAACATGCAAGCTCTTCACGTACTTCTTGGTCGTTTGTTGTGATTACCCCTCCTCCCTTCCTCAGCCTGATTATCTGGTCCTTGACTGTTGTTTTCCTTCTGATGTGGCTGTACAGCAGCTTTGGGTCAGATTTGGCTTTTGATGTTATGTAATTTTCATATTGTCACTCTTATCCCTTGCCCTTCTTATCCATGCATGCTCATTTCTGGCTCTTCAGCTAATCTCCTTGTATTTTCCTGGGTACTTTGTTTTCTATACTTTTTCCATTTTCTAGCCCATTTAATTTTGGCCTCTCTACACCTCTGAGTGAACCAAGGGCACATTCTGGTCTTTCCATTGTTTCTGTTGCCCTTGGGTATGAACCTCTTCTCTGCCTCTTTACATTTTGTGGTCATGTATTTCACCATATCATTTACTGTTTTTCCCACCAGCTCTTTCTCCCATTCTACCTCATGCAGGAAATTCCTCATGCCTATGTAGCCCCCTCTTTTGTAGTTTGACTTCTTCTGTCCTACTTGTGCTGCTTCACTCTCACTTTTAACTCTACAATGTACTCCAAGCTCAGGACCACATTGATCACTAGCTCTGAAGGGCCTTGCATATGTGATGTTTACCTGGAGTTTACCTGGAGAGAGTTCCGGGGGTCAACGCCCCCATGGCCCAGTCTGTGACCAGGCCTCCTGGTGGATCAGAGCCTGATCAACCAGGCTGTTGCTGCTGGCTGCAAGCAAACCAACGTACGAGCCACAGCCCGGCTGATCAGGAACCGACTTTAGGTGCCAAAACTACTCAAGGTGAATATGAGGTCCAGCCTTTCTGGTTCATCCTCTCCTTGCTCTCTGGTAGTGTCCCCTAACATGTCGATATATGAGGTTTTCCAGTACCACCTCCATTATCTTAGCCCTCCATGTTTCTGGTCCTCCATGTGGCTCCAGGTTTTACCTGTCAGTCTCTTGTGATTGAAATCCTCCATGATGAGTAACATTGCCCTGCTTATGTGGGCCCTTCTGGCCACCTCAGCTAGTGTGTCCACCATTGCTCTGTTGCTCTCATCATACTCTTGTCTTTGGCCTCCTGCTGTTCTGTGGAGAGTTGTATGTTACTGGAACCTCCCCAGTCTAAAGTCTTCCTCCCCCCCTCCCC